TAGCTATTTGTTACTACTAGTAAGGCACCTGTTACTACTAGCGTGGCACTTGTTTCTAATAGCTATTTGTTACTACTAGTAAGGCACCTGTTACTACTAGCGTGGCACTTGTTTCTAATAGCGTTTGGATACCTCATGTCATGTCTACTGTGGGGTCCTTTCTTGTGACTGACTCTGATTGAACCAGCGGAATAGAGATTGATTGACTGGCTTCGACGACATGAAATCCGCCTATGCCTTAGAATGGCATATTTTTGGATATTTTTGGATGAACTAAGAGTGGAAATTTTTAGAAACTAGAATGACCCTTAGAATGGCACATTTCTAGAGGCACTCGTTTCTAGGTGGCTAGACCTTTATAGGTTGCTATTTGGGATTTTACGTGTCCCCCGACAAACTGGTCGAAAGGGCATGGACACTGGTCGATGTGAAGCCCGAACTTTCCATACAGTGCAAATGTATGGTCTTGACACTTGAGGCAACGGTAAGGCAGCACCAGAGAGTCAAATTGCTTGGAGTTGAACCCGAACCTCAAGGCTCCAAGCTTTGGCAGGAGCGGGATCTTTCCCAAGGCAGTTGGTTGGCTCTTGACACCCGTCGCCCAGGCTCCTGCCAAGTCGTCGGCCGATCCTGATCCGCCACCTGTCGCTGGTCTTGAAGGGGAACGCGGACCCTCCAAGACCCTCCTGCACAGGACTCCCGATTTGTTTATTGGTTTTTTAAAAGAAACATGTGTTGTTTTCTTTAAAAAAAAGGAAAGGGTTCGATGTTAGATTGCATTGAATAGAAAGAGACTCTTGCAACAAAAAACAAGATTAGCGTACAACAGGTGTTGTTGGTATCTTGGGTAAGGTAGAATTCGACAGCCACGCACAGAATGGAATGTGTTGTGTCAGCAAAGTTCAAATGTGCAAGAAAAGAAGTCAGCAAGTTGGCGACTCCGTACCCACTATGTATAAAGGCGATGTATGCGTTGCACAGACCATGGTTGCCAAGATGAATTCACATGAGTTCATCCTGTCTTTTGTTGGGCTTTGAAGACTTGGCAGGATAAACTAGGGCTCCTGTGCCAAGCTGATAGAACTGGAAAGCTGGTAGACTCAGGCTAGGAAGTTGGCAGTCTCTGACCCAAGCTCACAGGCTCACGCACACCTCGGGCATTTCGTGTGGATTGGCCCCCACACTTGATGGCCCGCGCCAGAGGAGCAAACAACGGGCTTGGCGGTGACATGGAACTTGTGGTCATGTTAAACCAAATGAAAAGCTAATCAAGATGGACCAAGTTCAGAAAGAAGATGGAGTCAAAGCCCTTCAAAGACACTGGCCCAGGAGCTAGATGACAAGACCAACGGCCTTCACGAACAATCGATTGACCCATAGATGGCACGACATGAGAACGAACCAATTGAGGTCCCGTCTTTCAAGACTGAGGGTCCAGCGTCCTGGAGGACGTGCGGCATCGGACGTGCAGCATCCTGGGGTCGGTGGGTGTGTCCAATGTGGTTTTTCTTTGCATGCAGGACAGCTCGAGAGCGTGCATGGGTACCAGACTCAGCGTGCGAGGCATGTAGGTTTATATGCTGAAGGGCTGTTCCGTCATTGAATGGTTTTGAATCGTTAACTGACAGTCTAAGCGAGACCTTCCTGTACAGGTTGGTAACGGTCTTTACTTGCAAGGCCCCCTCATGATCCCTCACCAGCGACCGCGACCAGCAAGCAACAGCGTTGTAAGCTCGTTCATTCATAGGGGGTGCTACTAAACCACTCTAGAAACGAGAAAATATACAAGATCCTAAGCTCATTCGAAACGAGTGCAAAACGATTGGTGGGTCGAAGCTGCCGTGGCTTTTTGCGGCTTTGCCCTGACCGAGGCAGGGATCTACATGCCCCTGGTGAGACGTGGGGGGCTCTCATTTCAAAGAACTGGCGTCTGTGTTTAAAATAAATTTTAGAGTTTTAAAGTGATTTGTGCATGCTGTTGAATGTTTTAGTGTCTTGTCTTCATTTAAAAAAAAAGCATGTATCCATGCAACCTTTTGAAACCTTTGTTGGATTGGGAATGGGATGATCCTATGAAGCAGGTCTTCTGTAGATGTTAGGATTAATGTGCCCAGGACGGACCAGCAAAATCCCGCAAACCTGGTCAAAGTACACACCATGTTCGTTCGCAGCTGGCGCCCCAGGTGTGGACCAGGGCGAAATCAAAGACCTGGCACAGTGGGTGCGCTACCGGTGGTTTGGCTCCGACTTGTGCGAAGAAGAGGTGGTTTGGCTCTGACAAATGGGAAGCCCCCTGGTGGTTTGTGTGTCCCGTTCGACCAACTGAATTTTGGAGGTCCCCCTATTTACGCAGCCAACTTACCCTTGAGTCAACATTGACATTGGGAGTTGCAAAATGCGGGGCTGCTTTGGCGCCCGATTTTTTCCAAAGAGATACGAGGTTGGAGATGAAGGCGGATGAAAACGTATCTCCTCCTGCCAAGTCGTTGTCAAACTGAAAGAATATCAATGCTGTATCGCTCTTGAATCCAGAATGTGGTCTATTCCAGACTATGCCGCCAGACCTTTGCGGGTTTATGTTGCAGAGGTTCCCCATGCATTCTCACCTAGCTGGCTTGGTCAGGAAGGCCCTGGTGTGTTTTCATGCTCATCCGTTTCACATTTACACCGGTTCATGTGGTCGACTCGTCCACATCGGTCACGTCACATCACATCGGTCACATCGTTCACATGGCCCAAACTGGTGCGTCGAGCACCACATACGGGCACCGGATGAGGTGCTGCTGGCCACCCCTAGGGTGAGGCAGCTCCAATGCACACCCGTCCGTTTCCACACATTCGCTGAAGTGAATGACCACTTTGCTACACACTGTACTGTACTACTCACCATCTTATTCGGCTGGGCAGGTGTGGTGACATCAAGCCCTGCCTTGACCATGTCCTTCCAAGTTTGGATCGCCGAATCACTGTGATTTCTGCGGATGTGTTGGGTGATTCCTTTTCGTAGCTTAGGGACACGCCTCAGTGATTTTTCTTCGCTGTCCTTGTGCGTCTGAAAGGAGCTAAGATTTGGGTATGCTGAGGGCAAGAATAGAAGCCAAGGCAGATATCTACTCGTACTTGCTGTTACCCCTTCACAGGGGATCCCCGCGTGAGCCAGGTTCACGAACTGGCACAGTTGCCCCTGGTCAGCCATCCAGGTGCCTTCGAAGTTGCACTTGGAAACGCATATGTATGGATATGTCATGTTTCCCATTTGGTGGTTTCAAGTGTCGAACCTCAATGTTCGGTGATGACACCAATTTTCACTGGACCCTGCTATGCTCAGAAGGTAACCAGGGACCAACTCAGGCTGGCCAGGATTGCTCTCACAAAGAGATAGCAACAGTCCAATCTGACCGTTCCAGCTCACAAACAGTCCTCTTGTTTGGTTGGGAATCCGTTCTGCACATAAAGTTTCGGGAAGCCACCAACCTCTTGAGCCACACCAGAGTGGACTACACTTTGTGTGATGCCAAAACCGTTCGGAGAGTTCCTACATTGACTTGGACCAAATCAGTGCTTTAGGTGAAATTCTCTACACACATTTGGCCGAAGTAGAACAACCGAAATCTGTGGTTCTCGGTCGCTGAGATCTCCGTGTCAATGACTGATGAAAGTTGGCCTGAAAATCGGACTCGACAGCTGATGACAGCCGTGTCTCCATCGACCACCTTTCTCTGGCCGAAAAATAGGAACCCACTACGGCTATGGCTACAGTTCAGCTCTCAGCACCGGGAAAAGAACATGAGCTCTCAGCTTTAGCATCTTTAGCTTAGAAATTGCTATGAAATGGTGATTGCCGTCCAGTTCTCACCTCTTGCATGTCGGAAGCTGCACTGGTCTTCGCTGGAAGACGCTTGAAGCAATTCACATGGCTGTCCTGGTCTGACCAAGGCTACGACATCCTTGGACACATCATCGAGCTGAAGTCAGGCACCGCTGGAAATGGGTGACCCATCAGCCATGAGGGAGTGCTTTGTATGAAAACTCCACCAAACGGCGAACGGGACGGGCAACAACCAAGTGTATCCAATTGTTGTTGAATCTGCGCTTGGTCTGTCGAAGCCGCATGCTGACTGGTAGCTTCTTCAAACGCACCTGTGCGGTGCTTCTCACCCGTGAAGGTATCGTAGCGAAGCAAGCGAAGCATGTGGGCACCAAATGACCTCGTGACCTGTTCACCTCTGGGAAGTTCCTTGGTCGCCTTAGGTGAGGTGATTGGGTTCCAAACCCTCACCGCTTGGTGCTGTGGTGCGTAAAAGTGCGATCTGCCAGATCTGCCTGGCCCACTCAGGTACCATTCCAAGTCACGTTCCACCCCTTCTGTCGAAAAACACCACCAGTTTTGGAGTCTTCGAAAAACGGGGCCATCGTCCATTCGGGGCCATGCCGTTTTGATTCACGTGTTCCGGTGAGTGTAGATGCACTGTCTTGCAGCAGGAGGAGAGAGAGAGAGAGTGAGATGAACAGCTCAAGATCATATGTACTTTTGGGCAATCCAACCAGCCTTGTGGGGCACTGACAACAGGTCAACCGGCTTGGTTGAGCTCCAACAGTGCTCCACAGAATATCAAATGACTCCCTCTCCCTCTCCCCCTCTCACCAAGTGGCCTTGCCAGCTGAAAGCTGCGCAGACCCACACCACAAAAGAGTGGAATTGCCGGAAAAACTACTGGTGTATTCTTGACAGGTGTGTTTTTAAAGGTATGGACACTGCAGGCTCAGTTCTCTGGGGTACGCTGTCAATGCTTCACCAAGATTGATCCTCTGTGGCCATTGAGTCAGGTCCTAGGAGGGGCTTCATTTGTTCCTTGATGGAAAGAGACTTGATGGTGATAATGAATTCTTTTATGGGAATGAATCAGATGTCATGGGTGTTTGAAGAGATCAACTGATCGACTATGATCGACTGATCATGCTGGTCATGTTGCTCTTCCTACTGGACAGTTGGCCAGGTCAAAAGCTGGAAAGCTATTTGGAGGCGCATATTTTCAAGCCCTTGGGCATGCGTCGGGAGTCCCAATCAGCAAGTTGCCAGAGATGTCATTGACTGGGACCATGTCCAGACAATGCTGCTTGCTGTTTTGGTTGGATTGCACTTGAGATGCTGAGATGAAACCTCTTATCTCTTCATATCTCTTCATGTTCCGTGGGGGTGAACAAATCCAACAAGAAGGGCTTGTTTTGATTCACAAAACTGACAAGAAAGCAACTCCCCATCTGGAACAAGTGAGGTCATTCAATCAATTGCTGACAGCTTCCAGCCCAAGGTGACACCAGCTTCCAGCTTGCTTCAAGTCCCAGACGTTTGAGCGTTCTTTACAGGCCCGGAGCTCTCAAGCGGCTTTCTAGACATGTGTTGGGCCTCTCATGACCATCGCAGACTTGGTGAGTTTATAGGTGTTCATAGACAAGTCATCAGTTTTGCAACAGTTGGCCACATGCAGCAATGCCTATTTGGAGAAGTTTGGCTCCATGAAGAAACATGCCATGCAAACTTGCAAACCGCTTGAACTTCAACTGATCGAAGTCCAATTCCACGACCGAGACTTTCTACGGCTATCTCATGCTATTCCAGAAAGGCTTCATTTGAACTGGCTTTCGGGAGTATCAACGTTAAAGCTCAATCGGAGTTTCGGAGTGTACAGACATCGCACCATGACAGCCTCGAGCTTTGCTGGGTGAGCCTCCATCCCGCGGACCACAGGAGGAGCAGCGAAGGAGGAGGCAGCGAAGCAATAATTGATCGACACCAGTTGGGCAAGGTTATGTTCAGACATGGTTCAATTGTGTCGTTTATTGTTGATCATTGTTGATCTATTTCAATGATGTTCTATGGCCTTATGCTCTTGCGCTATGCTTGTTACTTCAAAAGAGGGTACATAGTGATCAAAGTGTTGGTTTCCACATTTCCATGTAGTCCATTTCAACCACTGGACTGTGGATCCTCTTGAAACGACGACCATCGCCCGCACGACGACAATCACTTCGACAGAGAGTGCGTATGGGAATTCATGTCCAAGCCAAGACCCCAGATGATGCGTAAGCGAATGATGTTTATTGGACCCCCACCCCTTAACCATGGATTTCAGGGGGGCATGAAAAAAGTAACATACACTGTCAGATGTTTAACGATATGGTTTTATTGTATGTCGTTTGTTTGTAGTCACACTATGGGCCCTGGGCCCCTCTTTGCTTGTTTGTACGTGTTTCAGAGGGTCCAACTGATATCCAACAATGCAAAAGTTCAATCTCCCATATATTTCATTCACTCATCCGCTGCATGGTACTTGCCATCTCTAGGTCGAAAAACAGAGTGATTGGTGATTACACTAGAGTATCACAATATGCATGATCGACAAAAGACCTAAAGGTGAACGGTACTAAATTTGCAGGCATTGTTCTTGTTGGATAAAAGTTGCAGCCCCGGAACGAAGTGTACCGCTTGAAGATATTTGATTCAAGGGGCCCGAAAATAGAGTGAATACAATAGTCAGAATGCAATAGACCATCAGGACCTAGAGATGACAAATATCATGCAGATTCATGCAGTAGATGATTGAAAATTTGTATGCATTGTTGGATATAACCTGGACGCCCTGCAAAGTTTACCATTTCGGCCAAGGGTGCCGAAAAATTGACGAATTACAATTGAAGTATGCGATATGGTTGAACATCATACAACAAACATACAATAAACATCTAGAATCTAGACTCCTGCTCATTTAGTGATACAGTGATACATCATGTGGGGCGTTGGCTTGGACATCGAATTATCTTTCCTTGCGCTCTCTCTTTGGAAGCAACCGATGCGGGCAGTGGTCGTCGCGAAGCAACCTGAATAACTCAAGAGGCACATGTCTTCCAGCGAGACATGCTGATTTCATGCGTCAAACGTCAAAGCAGGCTCTGGCTTCTCCAGGTCCGATGTCATTCTGTGGCATTGTGCGAACCGCATTGTGTTTTCCGCAGACATTCGTTCTCGACTTTGGCGGAGTCAGATGTCAGAAGGCTTCTTCGCCATTTGATTGACTCGTGCATTCACATTTCAGAGTTCCATATTGACTGACTGGTGCTTAGTAGGGAATAAGGGAATAAGCCCCCAATAGAGATCCTATTGGATCTATTCCCTCATTCCCTGCTAAGCACCAGTCAGTTGAAAACCAGGGGGTCCATGACGTGGCAGACAAGACAAAGGTTGACACAACATCATGTGAGAGGTAGGTGTCAAGGCAATGTCCCACTTGAGGACCCTTTTACGACTCCTGATTATGTATGTGCACAGAAGCATAGATATCAGATAGTGTAAATAAATATATTGTAATGTATATGCATGTCTATGCCATATGTAGTGCACTATTAACATCTACACCAATTAGTTGTACACAAACGATACCGCTGTAAATCAAGATCGTGGTTGAGTGGCTGTGTCCATCAGCACGGCTGGCTCTTGTCGCTGTTGCTGAGGATCACATTGTACCAAGCATGCCACTTTCAGCCACCCACTGCCTCTCAGGATGGGCATGGAAGGGCATGTGTTCTGTAGGGTTTTCAAGAGGACAGGATTCAAGGCATGTTGAGGGAAAGGTTGGCCAATCACAGTGCCACATGTGTGCTGCTCTTGTATTTTCCAAGTAGAGAAGGAATGAGCGTTGTTTTGAACGTGATGGGAAAGGCTGAGCTTGGCTTCTTCTGCGACAGAACAGGTCAAAGCTGGCACCAGCAGACTATGAAACAAATATATAGACTATGAACCGTTTTAGTATTTTTTTAGATCTTATCTACAGGCTTCTACACCAGCTAAATGTGTTGTCCTCAGTGGACAAGTTTAAGCCTACGGGTGTAAAACCGAACGTGTGACTACTGCGATTTTTGAAGTTGATGCTACGTGAAAGGTGGGGGGGTTGGGGTGGGGTGGGATGGGGCATATTGACGTTCGTTTGCACTTGCTATCTGAAGTTGATGCTACGTGAAAGGTGGGGGGGTTGGGTTGGGGTGGGATGAGAACACTGTCATCGTTTCACGACAAGTAATCTTCGGTTTCATAGCATTGTCATCGGTTTCACCACATTATCTTCGGTTTCATAGCATTGTCATCGGTTTGATAACATTGTCATCGATTAGTCGTGTGATTAAAATGGGGTGGGGGGGGGTGATGGAATGAGGATGTGGATGTCATGCTGAGAACATTGTCATCGATTTCACGACAAGTACTCTTCGGCTTCATAGCATTGTCATCGGTTTCATAACATTGTCATCGATTAGTCGTGTGATTCGCGGATGGCAGTGGCGTTGGGAAAACACCACGTGTACTAACTTGTGCAAAAAAACTGCGCAAGTCTACTTGAGACAGGACGCATGAAAGTTGAGGACAGCCCGGGACAAAAACGGCGACGGATTTTGCACTGGCGCTTGGGTTTCGGCAGATTCGGCTTTAAAAATGAAAGGATCCGGGCCCCCCAAAAAACATCATCGAACAAGCAAAAGTACTGAGAGGGCTTGCACTTTTGAATCAAAATTTGCACGACTACACGTGCGATTCCACACCCGGCGGGAAGTTTAACATGTGTCCTCTGGCAAAAAAAACAAGGCACCTCTTGCCATGTAGAACCCTTGTGCCGCGGGGCTGCTGCACTATCCGAGGTGTGTTTTCATTCCCTCCTCCAGTCTTGAGAATCACAATGGATTTCCAGTTTTTGGAGCTGGTTCTTTGCCAAGTTGGTTTTTGGAGATCCACGGTCGCCAGTGTCAACCTTATTGCTTTTGAGGCGAAGTGTGCAACTACACATCGGCCCCGATGTGATGGCGGCCACCTGCTTGCAGCCTGGAGTTTTACGCTTCAACCTGCTTGGGCCATCGGGGGTTCAGCGGATCTAGATGCATCCAGAATCCAGTTCCACACAACCAGTTCCACTCCAAGCTCCAAGACCAAGCGCAAGACCAAGGGACCCTCCTCCGCTTGCGGAATCACCCATGAATTACGGCTGGATTCATTGATGCATGGCAAGAGGCTACGATGATTAAGATGATGAAAAAGACGAAGATTGAGTTGATGAAGAATCCTCACCCAATTTGCACGTGGCTTAAGCTTGTGTTTTATTTACCCCTGCGGATTGTTCCGCCGGCCCTTTTGGCTGAGGGGGGGGGAGGGGGGGGAAGTTAGACTTGTCAAAAATTCGCGCCGTGGGTACAATTAGACTAAAAACAAAACTACTACTAGGATAGCATACAAACCAATCACCTAAAACACGCCGCGCCCAAGGGCCGGAGGATTGCATTTAGTTGACCTTCGCTATGATTGTCATGAACGTTCTCCTTGCCGACATGGGGATTCCCCGTTGAAAAAGTTCTAGGAAGCAAATTGGGAAAAAGTACTTATTGCCTACAACTACATCAACTACATATGTTAGGTGTCTTCTCTTTTTCCCTGACCGGCGGAATTCTCCAGTCGGTGGGCCAGCAACCAATGCTCAGGTCAAGTGTCGCACTGATTGCCCTGTCGGGAAAGGCATCGGCCCATGTAGGGGCTTTGCCACTTGGCTGTGGCATTGAGGCTTGCACTGGGCTTTTAGGGTGGAACCTTGGGCCACTACATTTGTTATCGGTTGGTTATCGCGGTGATTTTTGCCAGGTTTTTTGTTGAGATTGTTGGGATAGCTTGCTGAGTGGAGCCAACATATCGATCTTGATATCATAGGTTGGTGTCATGATCCAAGCGCTTGAAGGGACCATTCGAGCCAGCTGCAATTGGACCAAGTCGCGCAGGCTGCGCATCTGGTCATATTGACCCGAAGCATCGTCACGCGCTTCCGAGTTTTGAAGTTGGCAAGGAGATCCTAGAAGTTCCAATGCCAGCGATGCCATATCGTTTTTCTTGTGTTTCACCTGCGTGCACGTCCTCAACACGTCTGGAAGACTTTTCTCAAAGGCTGTACAAAGACGAAGAGAACTCAGACTCAGTACCACAAGAATATCCCATGAAATTCCCGATGTACACCGTTTCCTTGGAGGAGTTGATGAAGATGGAAGCAGTGAGGCCACACGAAAGGTTGATGGAGGAAGATGTACTGGTGGAATTTGACACAAATATGGGAAATGCAGCATTTATCTCACACCAATGGATTTCTGGGGAACACCCGGATCCGGAGTTCAAGCAGATGCGAATCATGCAAGAGGCTTTGAAGAACATGCTGTCCAAGATGAGTGTGATTGAGCAGAATATTCCAGGCCAGTGGTTTTCGCCCTATGTGGTTCTCTCCACGGAGATCTTTCATTCAAGTCCACTCTATTTTTGGTATGATTACTTTTCTTTGCCACAGATAGAC